CACACACACACACACACACACACACACACACACACACACACACACACCTTCAATAAATACATGGGTGAAAGAAGCTCATAATATGGAAAGATAAGTTTTCTGCCTGCCTCAACTGCAAAACTGACTTAAGACTGGCATGGGCTTCATGAGACCCTATTACAAAAAGGACAGACTGTCCAGTGTATTTTAAAGTTTTAATGTTTATGTTTGTTTATGTGTGTGCTTCTGTATCTGTGTCAGACTGAGTGTCAGATTGCCTGGCGCTGGAGCTGTGAGCTGTCCCTCTGGTTGCTGGGGACCAAACAGAGTGCTGAAAGAACAGCAAGTGCTCTTACTGCTAAGCTCGCTCTACCACTCATCCAGAGTATTTTAACACCAATCATTTGAACAATTGTCTCAATTGCTTTTTAAAATGACAAAATAATTCTCAGGCTCTGTCAAGGTTTTATGTATTATCTGAGAATTGTAAGATCTGGCATAAATATTTCAAAGAAATATACTTATTCAAAAATTTATTAATCTATTTTAAGCAAGGACTAATTTTTGCTTTTCAGAAGATGTAACCTTAGATCATAGCACATATTGATGCAGCACACAAAACATCGGCCCAGAACACTGAAAGCATGTTTACCATGTTGATTCCTGTTCCAACAGACTTCTCGCAGCCTGCAAGGCAGGCTGACATGTATGATAGGCCATTGTCTCCACACACTGGATCCCATGTTTTAGTTAAGCAGTTACACCTTGTGTTGCAGTCAGCAAGCACCTTATGATCCTCATACAAAGGCTGCTGAATTCTGAAATGATGTAAAATGATGTTAGGGATACTGAAAAGTTACTCAAGCACTTTATATTCTTCTCTTCTCTCTTCGTCTCAGCAAGTACACACAAACACGGGGGAGAGGAGAGGGAGAGAGATTTCATCTTCTTCCCAAAATAGAAACAGAAATCCAAATATCAATGTATGGTCTCTGTTCTATATTTTTGACACAAGTTACCTGCTCCATTAGTCACATAACTGCTTTTCAATTACTTCAGAAACAAACATTAAGTGCCTACCACAAGGAAAAATACTCTGACTGTTTTTCAATTACCTCAGAAACAAACATTAAGTGTCTACCATAAAGAAAAATACTCTGATGTTAGAACTAAAAATGAAAATAGTTTATCACTTGTTGCTCTATATGATTGGAAATAGTGAAAGAGAGCTGGCCTCAAAAATCTGTAATTTACATTTATAAGATAGACGCTGCATTTAACCTACAAAACAGAGGGGCTTGAGTAGCCAGACATGCTCTTTTGAGATATAGTGTCCAGAAATTACAATGAGATTAAAAGTGGATACTGAGGGAGTCTAGGGACTAAATCTAAATCTTGTCACTCAAATAGTATAGACTGGAGATAGAGTCAGTACAGATAATTCTACTTTGCTATTGTTGAAGTCATTTTCTGTAAGCTCATTAATCTCCCTGTTTCTATTGTTCATATCTACAAAGTGAACAGAATAATCTTAAAAAGAGAGCCAAAGCCGTAACTACATATATATTATATATAATTACTTATGGTTTTATGCTGGAAATTACTCAAATCTTACAATTCTTAGAATTTAGAAAGAAAATTTATTTTTAATCTCTTTCTCTCTGTGTGTGTGTGTGTGTGTGTGTGTGTGTGTGAAGTTCTTCTGTATATCTGTTGTTTTTATTGGTTAATTAATAAAGCTGTTTTGGCCTATAGCAAGGCAGAATAGAGCTAGGCATAAAAATAAAATTGAATGGTGGAAGAAATGAGGTGGAGTCTGGGAGATGCCATGTAGCTACTGAAGGAGACAGACACCCTAGAACCTTACCAGTAAACCACGAGCCTTGTGGTAATACAAAGAATCATAGAAATGGGTTAATTTGAGATGTAAGGGCCAACTAAAAATATGGTTAAGTTATTGGCCAAACAGTGTTTTAATTAATAGAGTTTCTGTGTGATTATTTTGAATCAGGGTGGTCAGGAAATGAACAAGGAACCTCTGTCAACAGAATGGCACCCAGTGAATGTTTGGAAATGATGCCTACCTCCCACATCAGGTCCAGATGCTTTTGTGCCCACTCGGGGTTGGGATAAAAGTAGCTGAGACTATGCCCACAGCTCAGCACTCCCCATCTGGGCAAACAGTTGGATCGGGTCTGCTTGATGTACTCAAGCAGTAAAGCATGCCAGATTCCTGCCACCATACACAGAGATATTTCCAGGCTGCATAGTGCACTGAATGGAAGATTTAGCTTTCACTCAGATAAAAGGCCTTTATATGCTGCACGGTGCTATCCAGAGTTAAGGTGATGAGGACAGCTTTCACCCGCCAGTCCCAGAGCTGGCAGTGAACTACCTCCACCATATTGAATGTCTGAGAGAGACAGAACCAGCTTTTAGGGCAGCAATAAGCACACTGCTTACCATTTTAAAGTGTTCCTATTTAGAAAAATAATAATAGATATGCAATAAAGACATATTCAGACAGAAATAAACCTCTGAGAGAAAAACAAATATAGAAAAAAGCAATCTTTAAAGAAAAAGAATACAGACAATAATAGATTAAAGTAGTAAAATAAATAATCCACATAAAAATGGAACATGCAGAGAGTCTGGATGATGTATATTATTTTGCTTTCTTTAAATATTTTGACTACAGAGAGATATTTGATTGGGGGCTGCTAAGCTAAACCAATATATATATTAAAGGTATACTGACTTCAAAATTTGTGTCTAAGAATATGTTGCTTTGAAAAAAGATGTTCTTCTTTTGTTTCCACAGAGAATGAGATTCCTTTCATGTTAATGTGGTTTGATAGAAAAAGACCCCCTAAAAAGTCTCCAAGAACCCCAAAATTATATTGCCCAATAAAAAGCAGGAAGCAGTTTGGAGAGAACTATGCCCAAATTCCAAAATATTGTTTATAAATGTTTATTTTCATTTAAAGGAGGATATGCTATACAGATAAAAACTTTTCATTGGTATGGATCTTGGTTTATTGATACAAATTTAAGGTCAATTTTGTTATATGTATATTTATGCTCTTGATTAACATATTGTGTTTGTGAAGCTCATTTAAAAATATAATTAAAAATACATGTTAATAAATAGTCATTTATAATAGTCAAACTTATAGTCTTGTTAGTTAGGTTTCCTAGATATATAGAGATATATTTCAGTTAGAGAGATAATCCTCAACCCTTTCAAATACCTATGAAATATGGCATTTAAAATCTTTTAATAACTTAAGACTTTTCATGACAATGAGACACATCTGCTCCTGACAGCATCAATTACTTCATGAGAAAGATGGGAATTGAAGAGGCTCCTTATGTAGTTTGTTAGCCATTTGGGCAAGAAGCTGCTCTTGACTGGACTGCTTGATGGTATGCTCTATGAACTAGACATACAGGACACACAAAAAATGATTGCTTAGCTTGCCTAAAGGTAAGACTCTCCTTCAGGGTTCCTGCTTCATAAAAAAAAGTCTGCCAGACATTCTACAGGATACAGACAAACTGCTAATGGATGTAAAACAGTCTTTCAAATTTTATGCTTCATGGAAAAGTCGGCTGGATATTATGGGACTGTAAACTGAAGATGGATGAGCTATGTTACAAAAGAACTTTGGATCACTGTCAAGACAGTAAGATGTCTCTGTCAAGTCAAGAGTTTTGGAAGTTGCTTACAATGTACTTCCTGTTAGCTTAGGTAATATTATATCCTTCTGTGTTCTTTAATGGAATTGAAAACTAGATGGTTAAAATTATAGTTTTCCTTAGTTATGACAAAAGATAAAATTTACATAAATATTGTAACTGTAATTCTTGCTTGATAACTGTTTTGTTGTATGTAATTTTACTATGTTAAAGTTAAAACCTTCCTTTTTATTAAAAGCGAAAATGGAAAATGGTGGGAAGTCCTTCTGTCTATGTGTTGTTTTATTGGTAAATGAATAAAGCTGCTTTGGCCTATAGCAGGGCAGAATAGATCTAGGTGGATAAACTAAATTGAATGTTGGGAGAAAGTAGGTGGAGTCATGGAAATGCCATTTAGCTACCAAAGGAGACAGACACCATGGAGCCTTGCTGGTAAACCACAAGCCTCGTGGTAATATACAGAATAATAGAAATTGGTTAATTTAAGATGGAACAGCTAGCTAGAAATACATAAGCTATTGATCAAATAGTACTGTAGTTAGTACAGTTTCCGTGTGATTATTTTACATCTGGGCATCCGGGAAACAAATGAGCAGTCTCCACCTACATGCATGTGTAAGTACACATAAAATAGTGTGCATGTGGAGTTCAGAAGATAACTTTCCACCTGGTTGGAAACAGAGGCCCCTAAAGCTCCCTGCTAAAAATGACAGACAAATAGGCCTATGAACTTTCAGGTTTTTCTGCCTGTGCCTCTCAACTCACAGCAGGAATGCTGAAATTATAGATACTGTGCCATGTCAAGCTGTACATGGATTCTGGGAATCTGAATTCAGGTCCTCCAGTCTGCTCAGCAAGCACTTTACCACTGAGTTGTCTCCCCAGATCTTTGAAAGGAACCTCCAAGTATATGATTTATTTAATTTTAACTGATGGGTTGATTATATAAGTGCCCCTAAAGAAAGTTTTAAATATCCTATGCTTTGCAAAATATAATCAAGCAACCCTGAAAATGCAAAATCTAAGTCTACAGAATGCATGAAATATAACTATATGAATGACATATATAAATATATACATTTGTTACTTACCATGTATTATATACAATTATGTTAAATTTCTCCCTATTATAGAAACCATGGATGACTCACTGGCCTGTAGAGTGAAATTTGAATGCTATCTGTTTATAGGACTATAAAATACATAGATAATTTAGGCTGCAAAGTTCTAGATTAATTTCTTTTTTATACTTTATAGTAGAATAGTATATTAGCTTGACAACCACCCATATGCATGTGAAATCATTAACTTACTCAGTGGTGGTCCCAAGACCTCTTTAACAAGCTTACAACTTATATGGGTTGGTAGAAGATTGATAGGTGGAAGAAAAATACAAGATGACCATGGATCACTAACATTAAATTGCAATAAAATGTTTATACAGTCCTTGAAGAAAATGGACTAGCAATTTTAGAAGCATTATTATCTTCATTAGGAAACAGCATACCCTTCATAAGAGGTGGTTAAGCCAGCAACTGGCAAATTATCACAGGCCATCATAAAGAAAATGAAAAATAGAAGATGCTCAATCAGGGATACGCAGAATGCTATGTATGCAGCTTTCTTGATAGTTATCTTGAACTTCTTCATAATCAAGCCACCAGTGAAATATCCAACAAACATTGAAGGTAATGTATAAATACCTATAAATGAAAATAAAATAGTGTTTTTAAAAGACAAGAAAAAATAAATGTTATCAATTTCTTTCAAATATCTTACTTAAAAAATTGTACTGTATATTATTTACCTCTAATATACAGTGATCCTAACCCCTACTCATTCACATATTGCTATTATGTACAAAGAGGTTTTCAAATGTCCTACAATATCCTTTAAAAATATTCTCATTTATTTAACCATTTGCAGAGACTTATAAACATTTTATAAGCATCTCACACACCACACATACATACACACATGCACACATAAATGATATTATATATTCGGGCATCTTATTCCTCTGTTTATTGGGAATTTGACTCAACTCCAGTTGATTGTAAATGTAGAAGCGAGTCTGTGTTTACAAAGCATAGAACAATTTGTGTACTACCGATGTTACCCAGAATTATTCCTCTCTGAATCCTTCTTCAGCCAAAATTCAAGGGGAAAAAGGAAAGGGAAGAGAAAAATCCTGGCTAGATTGTATTCATACTTCACCAGCACCAGGTTTGGAAGAATTCACCCATCCTTTGAGCTCCATAGCATTGTATTTGTTTTTTCACATCTGAAGTTAGGGACTGGGATTTGGACTTTCAGAAAATTTTAAATAATGTGGATGCTATTGAAAGACCCCCAACCTTAGTCTCCATTTTAAGATTGAAAGATCCCAGCCCTAGTCTCCATCTTAAGATGTTTTGATCAAACAGGCAAGGACAAAACAGGATATCTGTGGGCAGCAAAAGCAGTCTTGAGAAAAACACCCAGTCCTTTGTGTATTGAAACCCAAGGGGGCAGAAACTGGCTGCAAATAGCTTAATTTAGACTTGTTTTTGTAGGTTTGTTTTTGTAGACTTGTTTTTATCCTGATGTTGATCCACCCCATATGTTAATTTTATTTGAGTTGACCAATGGCATTGCTGTTGCTATGCTTCCCCGTTATGTAACCCTGAGATCCTATAAATACTGGCTGGAAAAATACAAGTGGTGGCTCAGTCTCACTGGAGTACTGAGTCGCCTGTTGGCACCTTCGACAATAAAGAATCCTCTTGCTATTTGCATCCATTGGTGTGGCTTATTGAGTCTGGGGGATCCTTCCTGAACCCTAGAAATTAGGGTCTTTCACTATCAATCTGTGATCATCAGTTATCAAGAGTAAAATAAACCCAGAAAAAAAAAATCCCAAGATGGGTAGAATCCCTGAATTTAGTATGTAAACAGAAACTACATATTTGTTTCCTGGCCACTCAGACCCAAACAATCACACAGAAACTATATAAAGTACAACACTGCTTGACCAATAGCTTAGGCATATTCCTAGTTAGCTCATTTTTAATTAATCCGTTTCTATTAATCTATGTATCACCACAAGGCTGTGACCTACCAGTAACTTTCCAGGATCCTTCTCTTTAAGCAACTACAAGGTGTCTCCCTCTCTCAGTCTACTCTCTACATATCCGTTCAATGACTTTATGCTGTTAAGCCACCGGCCAAAATAGCTTTATTAATCAACTGATAAAAGCAACACATATACAGAAGAACATCCCACAGCATAGTGTACTAACAAGAAAAGCAGAGTGTGGCAGCACTAAATCCTGAGACCACCAAGGGACCAAGGAATAGAATTTAGGAGTAATGCAGAAGGCAAAATTTGAAGCCCAGAAGTAATATCTGGGAGTAAGATACAGAATTCCAGTGAGTTAACTCTATATTCCTCTTTGAGTTAACATGTGGCCTCTTGAAAACCGACTGATATGAACATCTCCAAGATTTTCATAATAATGATGGGTTCCATTCTGATTGGAGAGAGACCAGAGAGTATATTTCTGGCCTCAGCCTCTTACTTTCTTCATCCTTTCTTGGTTTCCCTGGAGACTACAAAGTATAAATTTGTAAAAAAAATCTTAGCAGATTTACGTTTTGTTGTAGTTTCCTATTTACATCATTTTACTGTTTATCTTGCTCTTGGGGATACTGTTTATTGTATTCTTCTGGAAGGGGAGGTACTGAAAAAACAATGAAACTACATACCTACAAGAAAGACTACCTCTGCAGTTGATTTTCCATATTGCTGTTCCAAGTATTTAGGCATGAAGGTAACAATAATGACAACTGAGTTGAGGTGGAGCACACTTAAGAGGATGAAAAGCATGTAAATTGGATTACTCAAGAGGCTCTTCATGAATGGCAAGAAGTCTGAAACAAAATAGTTCCAAGATCATCAAGCAAACTTAGTCCAGCATTTTGTTCCCAGTGTACTAAAATCTTCTCACAGATACATGGCTTAACACAAATACATTTGATAAAGCCTCACCTCTTTGAGAATCATTATTTAAGTTGCTTCTGGAAGTGAGTGACTTAACTGGCTATCTAAGAATCAGAACCAAATTACAAAATCTAGCAAAACTATATAAAGATGGAACCATATCTACGGCCATGTCCTTTCATTTCTTTTTCTCTTTTCCCTCTATTAATATCCTGTATTCACTATAGACTGACTCGTCTTTTCACTGAAATTTGCAAGGGACTCTCTTTGATGAAGTTTGAATTCAGATACTGAGGTTAACACTTATTTGTGCAAGAACATGTAAGCAAAATCTTAGGAAGGCTCCAGGAATCATGCTGCAGCTCAACCAGCTTCAGCATCCCTGCAGAACTTTGCAACAGAACATTCATTAGAAGAGATTTTTTTTAAACTAGTGACATTTTTAAACATCTTTATACAAAATTCTCACTATAAGGAATGGTGACTCATTTGGTGTACACCAATAACCTTTCAGAAGTTTTAGAACTCACCCATGTTTGCTGACATCCCTGTTCTCCTAAATGAGTCTCTACAATTCACCTTGATTTTCTGTATATCTTATACGATGTTAAGCTCTTTCATAGTTTTGAAAATTAGGTTGGCTTGGCAGACCACACAAGTGCACATAGCAATCAGTATTAGCCTTTAAGAATGATGGTTAACATGACCATGATTCTAAGAATGTTAAAGCCTCTGAACTGCCTTCCTGTGGCCCCTTCAACTGTATCCCCTATCTCCACACTCTCAGTTTCATCATGTCCTAGTCCCCAGTTGGAATAAAGACTCTCTGCTCTATCAGACACCACTCCAGCTGATAGAAGTCTAGCGTCCAACTCAGGCAGAGACCCCTGCTCAACCACAGACCACACTGACCTGAAGATGAGAGAGTAAATGGAAACCAAGGAACAAAACACCCATCCAATAAAGGTAAACTCAGATATATAATTACCACTAACCTAGATGATTAGATACCAGCATAAGAACATAATCAAAAACAACCAAGACAGTATGTCACCAAAGCCCAGTTACCCCAACACATCAAACCCTGGATAGTCCAATGAAGCAGAAACACAAGACAATGACCTTAAAAACAATTTTGTGAAGATAATTAGGGTCCTTAAAGAGGAAATAAATAAATCCTCTTAGGAAATCAAGAAAAAGACAATTTGGAGAAAGTGAGTAAATCCTTCTACTGGACCTCAGGATTCAGCAATACTACTCTTGGGCATATACCCAAAAGATGCTCAATCATACTACAAAAGCATTTGTTCAACTATGTTTATACAGCATTGTTTGTAATAACCAGAACCTGGAAACTACCTAGATGCCCCTCAACAGAAGAATGGATAAAGAAAATGTGGCACGTTTACATATTAGTGTACTACTCAGCAATAAAAAACAATGACATCTTGAATTTTGCATGCAAATAGATGAAATTAGAAAATACTATCCTGAGTGAGGTAACTCAGACCAAAAAAAATATGAATATGGTATGTACTCATGCATAAGTGCATAGTAGCTATAAACAAAAGACATTGAGCCTATAGTTCATGAACCTAGAGAAACTAAGTAATAAGGTGAGCCCAAAGAAAAAATATATAGGCCCACCTGGAAACTGGAAACAGACAGATTGACTGGCAGGGTTGGGAGTATGGGGGTTGATGGAGAGGGGAGGGTAGGAGGAGAAGAGGAGGGGAGAAGGGGGAGGGCAGAGGAGAACTTGAGGGAAAGAAATGGCTGAGATGGAGGAAGGCGAGATATACCTTGATTATGAGAGCCATTGTAGGGTTAGCAGAAACCTGGCTGTAGAGAAATTCCTAGGAATCCAAAAGGATGACCCCACCTAGGACCCTGGGCAGTAGAGGAGAGGGGGTCCGATCTTGACTTGCCCTGTAGTCAGACTGATAATTTTCTTAAATATCACCATAGAGCCTTCGATGGAGACAGAGACCTACATAGGAGCACAGGACTGAGCTCCTAAAGTCCAGTTAAAAGTGGAAGAAATGAGAATATGAGCAAGGAAGTCAAGAACATGATGGGTTCACCCACTGAAAGTTTGCCTGAGCTAATGGGAGTTCACCAACTCCAGCCAGACTGGGAAGAAACTAGCATAGGACCAAACTAGTTCCTGTAAATGGGGTTGACAGTTGCATGACTGGGTAAGACTGAGGGGCCACTGACAGTGGCACCAGGATTTATCCCTACTGCATGTCCTGGCTTTTTGGGATCCTATTCCCTTTGGATGTATACCTTGCTCAGCTTAGATACAGTAGGGAGGGCCTTTGATCTTCCACAAGACAATGTGCCTTATTCTCTGTGAGGGCTAGATGGGAGTGAGGTAGGAGGGTGTATGGAGGGAATAGGAGAAGGGGAGGGAGTGGGAACTTGAATTGGTATTTTTTAAAACTAATAAATATAAAAGACCTAACTATATAATTGAAGAATATACCCAAAAGACACTCCATTCTACCAAAAGGACAATTGCTAAACTATATCCATAGCAGCTTTATTCATACAGCCAAAAAGTAGAAACAACCTAGATGTCCCTCAACCAAAGAATAAATAAAAAAATGTGGGACATTTATACAATGGATTATTTTTCAGTTGTTAGAAGAATGACATCATGAAATTGGCAGGAAAATCCACAGAACTAAAAAAAGTCATCCTGATTGAGGTAACCCATACCAAGAAAGACAAACATGGCACATGGTCATTGATAAGTGGATATTAGCTATTGAATCAATTATAGTCATGCTACAAAACACAGACACAGAAAGGCTAAGGAGCAAGTTGTGCTATAAGAGGGATCAGTGGATCTCCTTGAGAAGGAAAAATAAAATATATTTGGGGAGTGGGCTGGGGGTAGGTGGCAATGGGAACAGGAGTGATCAAGTTTGGGGATAATGGAGGAAGAGAATAAGGGGAGAGGTGATTGGAACTGAAGGGTATTTACCTGAGTCACATAGAAACCTAGTTCATTAGAAACTTTTATGATTCTAAGAAGGTGATTCTAGTGAGCGCTCCTAGTAATGGATGATTTGGAGCTTGAATCAGCCATCCTTAGTAAACAGAGAGGAATTCCAAAGATTGGACTTGGACAACTCAGCCACAAAATCTTGGACCTATAATCTATTCTATTTAGAAAACGAGGTGAGACAGTGGAGGAGCAGAATTTGTGGGAATTGCAAACCAATAACTAGTCTAATCTGAGACTCACATCGCTAATGGGAGCCCACGTTCAATACAGCCTGAATGACTAGGAATAGGAAGCTGAATAACCCAAGGACCTATGATAGAAAAAAGTCAATAAAATGATTATTAGTGTCATTCTTATATACTCATAGATCTGAGCCTAGCCCAGTAATCATCAAACAGGCTTCCCAACAGCAGCTGATGGAGCAAATACAAAGACCCATAGCCAAGCATTAGGTAAAGAGCCCAAATTGGAAGTTTCCATTGAGTCCTTTGCTTGGTACCCAGGAAAGACTGTAGAAGACAGGAGAAAGAAATGTAGAAGCCAGAGGAATCAAAGACAACAGGACAGCACAGTTCACAGATGTCAACTAAGTAGGGCTCATACATGCTTACAGAGACTAAAACAGCAATCACAGAGCTTGCATGGGTCTATACTAGGTCATCTGCATATGTGATATGCTTGATGTTTTGGTGTGACTAACAGTTAAAGTAGGGGTATTTTGAGTCTTTTGCCTCCTCTTGGGACCTGTTTTCTTCTATTGGGTTGTCTCGGGTATCCTTGATGTGTGGGTTTGTTCCTACAGTTATTGCATCTTGTTGTGCCATGTTGTGGTGTGGGAGATCCTTCTGTCTATGTGTTGCTTTTAATGATTAATGAATAAAAAACTGCCTTGGCCTATTGATGGGGAAAAACGTAGGTAGGTGGAGAAAAGTAAGCAGAATGCTGGGTAGAAGAAGGCAGACTGGAAAGATGCCATGGAGGCACCAGAAATAGACATTGGGAACATTACCCAGTAAGCCACTGCCACGAGGAGAAACACAGATTAATAGAAATGGTTAAGTTAATATAAGAATTAGTTAATAAGAAACTAGAGCTAATGGATCAAACAGTGTTTTAATTAGTACAATTTCTGTGTGATTATTTTGGGTCTAAGCTGGCTGGGTGGCCAGAAACCAGACAGATTGGCACACAAACATGGTGGAGTGAATCCACCTAAAACCTTAAAAGCTTAAAAATTAATTCTAGAAACAAAAGAAAAGAGTTAACCATAGTTTACTAGCATCATTTTCTTGGACTGGCTTTGTTTGATAGAGGCAAGCAGAGGCATGGCTCCTTATAGAAAAAAGCTGCACCATTTTAAAATGTGGCTTCCTGGACCATGCCACAAGTGCAAACTTTAGCTATGGAGCATTTCAATGGCATTTGTAGGCCCGGGTGTTTGTGTGCCCACACGGTGTTGGGAGGAAAGTAGCTGAGACCATGCCCATGGCTCACCCTCCCTGCCTGGACAAGTGGTGGGATCCAGTCTAGTAGGCTTCCACAGGTAGAAGAGTGTGGTAGATTCCTCCCACCATACACACAGATGTTTCCAGGCTGTGCAGTGTTCTGCATGGCAGATTTAGCTATTACTCAAATAAAAAAGAGTTTATTGCTGCACATTCATTCTCAGAGTTAAAGTTCTGAGCTCCTACCTGGCAGCTCCAGAGCTTCCACCATTTTAAAAGTGGAGAGAGGCAGAGCCAGCATCCAGAGCAGATGCAACAAGCTGCTTACCGTTTTAAAAGCTCTTCAAGACTTTAAAGAATTACAGATATGCAGTAAAGACAAATCCAGATGACTCATGGTGTTGAATAAATGTACATGGGCTTGAAAAAGAGAAGAAAAAGAGTATAGAGAGTCATAAAATAGTTCTTCTTTTTTTAAAAAGGGCAGTCTTTAAAGAGATAGAGTACAGACAGTCATAAATTAAAAGGAGTAAAAAAGTAAGTCACATAAACATGGAAAATTCACAGAGAGCCTGAAATATGCATATTATTGTATTTTCTTTGAATTTTTTGACTTTGAATGAGCTAAGTACAGAGAGACATTTCATTGTATGGGCTGTTAAGCTAAAGCAGCATGTATATTATAAAGGTATCTTGATTTCCAAATTTGGGTCTAGGATATATGGCTTTGGAAAAGAGATCCCTCTTTTGTTTTCACAGAAGATGAGAACCTGTGGATTATTTTCAGACCAATATTGTTTGATGGAACAAAACCTCCTGAATGGTTGCTGTAAACACCCCCATAAATTAAATGCTTTGCCCAATAAATAGTAGGAAGCAGTTTGGAGAAACTACACCCATATTTCCAAATTGTCTATAAATGTTTGTTAACATTTAAAGGAGGAAATGATATAGATATGAATAATTTGCATTGGTATGGATCCTGGTTTACTGATACACATTTAAGGTTAATTTTTATATGTATATTTCTGCTCTTGATTAAGTTATTGGGATTATGTAGTTCATTTAAGAAATATCGGTTAGTAGATAATCATCTATAATAGCCAAGATTGTAGTCATGTTAATTAGATTTTCTAGATATACAGAGATGTATTTCAGATGGATAGGCATTCTTTAAATCTTTCAGAGACCTTCAAAATATGGCATTTTAATATTTTAAGAACTTAGGACTTTTCATGACAATGAGACATATCTGTTCCTGGCAGCACCAATCTACTTCAAGAAGAAGATGGGCATAGAAGAGGTTCCTTATGGAGTTTGTTAGATGAATTGGACATGCACCATCCACAGAGAAATGACTGCTGTACTTGCCTAAAGGTGAAACTATCCTTCGGGATTCCTGTCTCATGAAAGAGTCTGTGAGACATTCTACAGGATACAGAACAAAGTGACTGGTAAACTGCCAATATAGTCAGACCTGTCTTTGAAATTTCCTGCTTCAAGGAAAAGTCTGCTGTATACTATGGTCCTGTAGGCTGAAAATGGTTGCCCCAATGGTACAAAAGAACTTTGGGTGACTATCCAGGCAGCAAGATGTCTCTGTTAATTCTAGAGTTTTGGAAGTTTCTTACAATGCACTTCCTGTTTACTTAGGTAATATTATAACCTTTTGGAGTCTTTGATGGAGTTGAAGAATTTATAGTTATAGTTTTCCTTAATTATGACAAAACATAAAATAGATATAAATATTATAACTGTAATTCTTACTTTATACCTATTTTGTTATATGAAATTTTACTATGTTAAAGTCTTCCTTTTTGTTTAAACAGGAAAGGGGAAAAGGTGTAGGAGGTCCTTCTGTATATGTGTTGCTTTGGTTGGTTAATGAATAAAAACACTGCCTTGGTCTGTTGATAGAGCAGAATGTAGGTAGGTTGGGAAAACTAAGCAGAATGCTGGGAAAAAGAAGGCAGAGTAGGGAGACGATATAGATCTGCAGGAGAAAGACACTGTGAACATTACTAGTAAGCCACTGCCACATGGAGATTCACAGATTAATAGAAATGAGTTAACTTAGTATAAGAGTTAGTCAATAAGAAGCTAGAGTCAATGAACAAGAAATGTTTTAATTAATATAATTTCTATGTGATTATTTTGGTTCTAAATTAGCCTGGTGGCTGGAAACCAAACAAGCAACCTCCCTCCAACAATGTTGAAAGGATATTCCTGTGAAGTTTACTTTTTTCTGAAGGGAAACGGGCAGAGTAGATCTGGGGAGGAAGGGAATTTGGAGGGAACTGGGAGAAAGGTACAGAAGGGAAACTATTCAGAATATATTGAAATCAAAAACTAAAATTAAAAATAGAAAACAATATAATTATGTGGCAAATCATATAGTCACATATAACAATCCATACTAAGTTTTTCAGGAGAATTGTTAGCATGACCATGATTCTGAGAATGTTCAAGCCTTTGAACTCACTGTCAGTTTGACTAACTCCTCAGCAATAGTCAATAGTGTTTAAGGGAGATGTGTGACTATTCGAGGCATATTAGTGCTGAAGGATTTGAGTGTGGAGGAAAGTGTAATGTCATCAAAAGAGTGCTCCCCACAGTAGTCTGCATGAGAATAGCACAGAAACCCAAGAACACATCGTTGACCTCATTGGACAGGTGAAGGAATAACACCTTCTTATCCTCCAAGTATACACTTTAAGAATTCCAAAGCCCAAGCCATTCCCCCTCACACTAACTCAAATCTCTTGTGAATACTACAGAAATCACCACACACATAACTGGAAAATAATGCCAAATGCCAAGGTTCAGGAATGTGCAATCTTGACCACTCAGCTTCTCACAGATACACCACTGCTCTGCACCAGAGGTCAATAACATTCCTGCTTGTTTACAGCAGTCTGCTCCTTAGGGAACAGTTCTCTTGTAAACTATCACACCTTCAAATACAGAAGATTATACCACCTCTCAGGATTTCTCCTCCAACATTAACTTCAAGCATGCTCACAGCTAAACTGTCATTTTTCTTATCAAACTATGCAGTTACCTTAGTACAAGTAATTCTCTCCCATTGTCTTTAACTTGAATTTCTGGTTATTTTTTTAACTTGGAGCAATATTTTCTATAAAATAGACTTTTTAAAACAGGTGGAAGAATATATTTGTTCATTTGGTGTCCAGATTGATGAATTTTCCATAAAGTCTAATCTAAAATGCGCTGTTTACAAATTATGTGAGTTGTAATCCAAACAGTAACTTGGGAAGAAGTTTAAGGCATCTGAGTAGGGACCCTTAGTAACAAACTAGCTTAACTCAGCACAGCAGACACATGCTCCACTACCTGCAGACCCATCTAAACCAAATACAGGGATTATTAAGGTTTGTCTGTTTGCCTTTAGTGATTCCACGTTTTTCCTCCTTGGCTTTTTCTTGGTGTTTCTCTTCTTTATCACTTGTAGGCGCATCTGCATTATCCTCTAGTCCTTCCTTTGGGAGTGTTTTGGGAAAAAAGAAAAAGGGAATGCTGGCCAGGACATTCACTCCTGCACAGATCAAAAAGCCGAACCACCAAGCACCAACCCAGCGTGTATCAGCGGGAGTTATGGTCAGGTCATCTGTGGAGAAATACAGATGTTTTGTTAGCTTGCATCATTCTTTCCAGCATAAACTGTAGAAAATTATTAAGAATCATAATTCCATCTAAATACAAAATTTATATATCTTTTGTACACCCATCACACATTAGTTATTCTTATGTAAACCTTGAATTTCTGATTTTCTGCCTCTGCTTTTGAAATGAGGAAATTACAGGAATCTGCCACCTGGCTTGGTTAGTTCAAACCTTTAGAAACAGTGTCTGAGAAAGATCAATTGGATAAAGATGTAATTAAGTAAGAAGAAAAGATTCTGAGGAGCAACATGGTATAAAGGTTAAAACTTCATTTCAGAAAGACAGGAAAAAAGATTTGATGTATATTTAACAAACTAGTTTTAACCTGATGTATTCATATCTCAAAATATCACAATAGACGAGGAAGGGGCTACAGAGACAGTTCACTGCCCAAGAGTTATTGTTGCTCTTGCAGAGATCCTGAGCTCTATTCCAAGTACCCTCAAGGAAACTCTCTACTACATGTAATTCTGATTTAAAGACATCTGAAACCCTCTTCTGACCTCAGCAGGCACATACACACACACACACACACACACACACACATACACACACACACACACACACATATATATATATATATATATACATATATATAAAGATAATAAAAGTATCACATGGTATCTAATTGTTTTTTGTTCTGTGTGTTCATTAAGAAAAGTAACTAAGTTTACCTAGCAATATAGATGGTGTATTTTTCAAAAGTAATTGAGTATTTCTGTACATCTTGTGAAAATTTTACAAATTGGTTCTTATCACATAACAGAGATCTGTTTTGTCATCCACAATGACTGCCTCACTAGGTGAGTAAACCCTTTGAGACCAAAGGTGTGATTGCAATGTGGTGAAAGGATGGTGGATTTTTAATCAGAAGGTGACATTTTATCCTTACCTTTGTTTCTCTTAGGTCTGAAGTCTGTAGGTGGTGATAATTGCCTAACTGAGGACCAAAGGAGGCAGTGTATAGCTATCTGGAGCATTCTTTTACACTATAGAGACTAGATTGTATAAATAAAATTTATTTTACCTGTATTCACAGATCCAGTGTCTACATAAATCTTTGCACAAAAGGTTGACAACAAAAATCCAATCAAAGGACCAACGCTCGTTCCTATTTTTAGAATCCCTGGAAACAAATACAGGAATTTACATAAACACAAAGAATTTGCTTGCACAAAAAAAAGCCTTGAGATTAAATCGTTTTAAATCTTAGATGTTTTTCTTTCCTTTGTAAAGCTGAGTATCAAATCCAATAGTCTAGACAAGTGCTCAAGAAATGAGCTACACTCCCCCTTAACTCACATACTTTTTTTATATTCAATGTATAAAGAAATCGAGCTTGATACGTACGTTACATATGCATACAAAGAAAGAATATGTATTTCTTTAAATATTGAGAAACCACCATTGTTTCAATATGGATTTCTAGGCATCAGCACTGGAATCTGAAGGGACTATTCCAATGGAGGAAATGGTGGTGAGTTTTCAGGTTATCTGGAGTAGAACCACAGCCCATTACTCATTCTGTTTTGTTTCCAGTGTAAAGTTAATGGTTTCACTCTACCCTTTCTTCCACCATAATGAACTGCCTCATGACATGTCACCAAACTACACATTCTAGTGACAAAGACCAGAACTTCCTAAGCTATGAGCCAATGAACCCTTTCATTTATACATCATCGTATCAGGGATTTATTAAAGTGATAGAAATCTGAAAGTCACTTTCCAAATTCTCTTTTATGCTGAGTTAAGGGAGAAGGCTATACTATTACAGGCAGTCCTGTCAAAACCAAGATGTGTGTCCTTTTGATGCTTCCATCACTGTGATTTCAAAGGGCCTCTGTGATGGTTAGCTTTAATTCCAAGCTGTCCAGCCAGGAGCTCCCTGGGAGGAGAGTCTCAATGAAGTCTACCCTGGATTTATCTGTGGCATGTTCATAGAAGGCTGTCTTAATTAAGTTAAGTGATGTGAGAAGACCATGCCCTTTGTGAGCAACACTGTGCACTAGGTAGGGAGTCATCAGCTGTGTAAGAGTGGGAAAAGAACTGAGTACTACCATGCAAAAATAGACATAAGCATACATAGATTTACTATCTATGCTCTTCTGGGTGTGACAGCTGCTACAAGCCCCAGCTACTGTGACTTCTCTGGAATTTTAAGTCAAATGAACCTCTTTCTAAAGTTTTATTTTCTCACAGAAACACAAATGAAAACAGCACATTTTCAAAAGCAGTGTGTGCTATGAAGAATTTTTTGTAATGTGTCTTATCAAAACTCTTTTCTTGAAATTTCTTTCCAAAGAAAGACTGTGGCCTTATAAACAGCAGATCTCTTGGATGTTATCCTGGTCTTCTTTATTATCTTATTATTATTTTCATTTCCTTGGTCCATTTCAACCCTATCTGGCTTCTTTGAAACCACCACAAGCAACTCCCAACTTATCAGAGTTTAGAATTTCTGCTAAGCTATTCCTACTCACAGAAAAACCAGATATGAATAATTTCAACTAACTTCTGTTCACTTTACATTTTGTCTTTTCTCATTCTCCATGGTTCTATGTGCTAGTCCTCCTCTGACCTCTCAATACCAAAGCCCTCTGCCTTCCTTGTCCTATCATACATTCCCCCACTGTTCATTTCTCTCTATCAAATGATTCCTGAAAGATCTCCACCCTCCACTGTCCATTCCTGCCCTCCACTGTCTCCATGACTCCTCACCTCTCACTCTTCTCAGATTCTTTCTGATTCTAAGATATGCTCTTGGCACCAGTGACCTCCATCATGGATAACATTTTCCAGTTTCGATCTTTAGTCTCTTAACTTGCTTGACATTGTTGACCAACTCCTCACCTGTCTGTTTCCCTTAACTCTTTCTCCATACTAACTTTTATTGTTTGTTTATACTTTCTTCCCATGGATATTGATCTTTTTACTTTTCTTTCTCTAGCTCTACCCACTAGGGAGAACCCTCAGTGTTCTGACCTATGGATTCTTAGTACATAAATGTCTTTGCAAAGCAATTTTGTTTCTTCTTGATTTAACCTAATGTCTAATAGAGACAACTTTTTTTTACAGTTGGTTTTTCTGTCTCTTGAGCTATAGAGACATATCTGAAAATGTATTCTTAATTTCTTGTTTATTTTAGCTATTTGATTATTTATACACATGCAAATATTTGTATAATTATATAGCAACTTGACATACATTGCCTCACCAACTAGATGAAGAGGTGAATGACTGGTCTTCCAGCTTGACAGTCCCATCTCTAGGCCCTAGGCCCTGGTGCACATCCCAAGCACCACCCACACCCATTACAGCCCCAATAGCCTGTCGGCAGGTAAGAGTTCTAATGACAGGCCACTCCACTATGACCCCTCCCATTGGACACTATATTCTACAAGTCCTATTCCACTCTATAAACCCAACCCTCGCCCATGACATCAGCAGCCCCCAAAATCAAAGACATCACCTGCACTGATTGGATAAAGAGAAGGGTAGATGGCAGTGTAAAAAATGCATTCAACAACATAAAGAGCAGTATGACACCCCCAGAGCCTAGTGGTTCTACAACAGCAAGACCTGAACATCTCAATGCAGAAGAAGCAGAAGAAAATGACCTTCAAAATAACTTTATGAGGTTTACAGAGTACCTTAAAGGAGAAAGGAAACATTCCTTTTAACAAATAGAGAAAAATACAAAAAAATTGGAAGAAATCAGTAAATCCTTAAAGATAGCCAACAAAAAAGATAGTTCAAGACTTGAAAATTAAAATATAGGCAACAAAGAAAACACAAACAAAGGGAATTCTGAATATGAAAAATCTGGGTAAATAAACAGGAATTACAGATGCAAGCAAAACCAATAGAATGAAGAAATGGAAAAGAGAATCTCTGGTGTTGAAGATATGAGCAAGGGATTCATTGGTCAAAGAAAATGATAAAGCCAACAAAGTCACAACAAAAAGCATCGAGCAAATCTGAGACACCATGAAAAGACTAAAACTAAAAATAATAGGGATAGAAGAAGGAGAAGAATACCAGCTCAAAGGCACAGAAAATATATTCAAAAATTCATGGAAGAAAACTTTCCCAGCCTAAAGAAGGAAATTGTTATGAAGATACAAGAAGCTTACAAATCACCAAATAATATGGACCATAAAAAGGATCTCACCATATAATAATCAAAACACTAAACATACAGAACAAATAAAAAATATTAAGAGTTGATAAATAAAAAGCCCAAGTAACATATAAATGCAGACCCATCAGAATAACATCAGACTTCTCAAAGGAGACTATGAAAACCAGAATGTCTTGGATAGGTATTATGCAGACACTAAGAGACAATGGATGCCAGCCCAGACTACTATACCAAGCAAAACTTTTAATCACTGTAAATGGAGAAAACAGGATATTCCATGACAAAATGATATCTAAACAATACCTATCTACAAACCCAACCTTACACAAAGTACTAGAAGAAAAACTCCAACCCAAGGAAGTTAGCTGCACACACACACACACACACACACACACACTACCACCAACAATAACAAGACCAATAAATGACAGGAATTAACAATCACTGGTTATTAATATCCTTTATTATCAATGGACTCAGTTCACCTATAAAAAATAGACAGGCTAAGAGAATGGATACAATACAGGAGCTGAACTTCTGTTGCATACAAGAAACATACTTCAACTTCATCAACAGGCATTATCTTAAAGAAAAGCACCAGGAAAAAAACTTTCCAATCAAATGAACCTAAGAAGAAAACTGGTGTAGGTACTCTAATATCTAATGTAATTCACTACATAAACTGAAGGGGAAAACCATATGATCATCTTATTTGATGATGAAAAAGTTTTCAACAAAATCCAATACCACTTTATGATAAAGGTCTTTGAGTGATTAAGAATACAAGGATCATGCAAGGATTATACATAAACATAAGAAATGCAGATTGGAGGAGGGGTGAGTGTGCTCCTGGCC